GTGAGGTCGTTCCTAAATGAGCCATTCCACTTATATTTGATTAGGTGGAGATTGTGCAATCAGATTGTAAAGTGAAGCCATCTTAAATGATATTAAAAAGTATGGATTATTTGTAAAGTGTGCCTGTACCTTTCCTATGCAGAGTAAACCAACAGGTTACTTAAACTGGTTGTAAAACCTTCTATTGCCAGGCTCCCCCCAAATACTTACCTGAGCCCAATTCATATCAAAAACTGTTCTCTCTCTCCCTCATCACTGGATTTCGTGAGAGCAGTGGTAGCCATTGGTTCCTGCTGCTGTCAGTCAAATCCAGTGACGAGGGAGTAGGACCAAGCTGTACTATGTGTGTCTGTAGATACACAGAGCACGGCTCTGGATTGAGCCTGCCCATGTGCTACCATAGGAAGTGTCTTTTTATGGTGGCACACAGAGAAGAGGAGCAAGGAGTGCCAGCGGGGGACCCGAGAAGAGGAGGACCTGGGCAGCTCTGTGCAAAACCATTGCAGGTACGTATGGCATGTCCTCACCCCACCAGCAAATCCTTCTCTTTTCTTCACTCTCTCACCATGCCATTCAGCTGCTGCTAGTAGAAGAAGAAGCAGCCCTGTGTAAATTACAAGTCGTCCAAGTCATAGCTTACTCAGATATATGGAATCTTCTTAAGTGACCACATTGGTGCTTTTTGATTGTCCTACTGCTGTCACATGGAGTAAGTCACACGCCGATCCATACCTGAAAGTGCCAGGTACATTTTCTACTCTTCAAAGCTGAAGTGACCACATTGGTGCTTGGTGATTGGCCTACTGCTATCACATGGAGTAAGTCACACGCCGATCCATACCTGAAAGTGCCAGGTACATTTTCTACTCTTCAAAGCTGAAGTGACCACACTGGTGTTTGGTGATTGGCCTACTGCTATCACATGGAGTAAGTCACATGCCGATCCATACCTGAAAGTGCCAGGTACTTTTTCTACTCTTCAAAGCTGAAGTGACCACACTGGTGCTTGGTGATTGGCCTACTGCTATCACATGGAGTAAGTCTCATGCCGATCCATACCTGAAAGTGCCAGGTACTTTTTCTACTCTTCAAAGCTGAAGTGACCACACTGGTGCTTGGTGATTGGCCTACTGCTATCACATGGAGTAAGTCACACGCCAATCCATACCTGAACGTGCCAGGTACTTTTTCTACTCTTCAAAGCTGAAGTGACCACACTGGTGCTTTTTGATTGTCCTACTGCTGTCACATGGAGTAAGTCACATGCCGATCCATACCTGAAAGTGCCAGGTACTTTTTCTACTCTTCAAAGCTGAAGTGACCACACTGGTGCTTGGTGATTGGCCTACTGCTGTCACATGGAGTAAGTCACACGCTGATCCATACCTGAACGTGCCAGGTACTTTTTCTACTCTTCAAAGCTGAATAGAGGGGCAAGGAGCAAAGGCAAGATAGTACATGCTGCTGGGGAAGGGTGGGGGATCAAACGGGACATGTTGCTTTTGCTCTGAAAACTACAGTCGCCCCTAAGGAGCAATCAGAGTGTAATAATCAGATCACTACAAGATAAAATCTTTTCACCGTCTGTTAAGGGTGAGATTGCCACTAGGACACAGAGGACAGTCGATTGTGTAGACGTGATCCAGCTGCCCTCAGGTCGACTTTTTTCCAGCGCTAAAGCAAAGCGTACAGTAGCTGCAGTGGAGAAAAGGCGGGGGGTGGAACAGGAGGCCAACATCAGCCTAACGCAGAAGGGATCAATAATGGTTGTGATTTTCTACCCTACCCAGTAAATCCCCCCCCCCACCCCTCCCCGGGAGCGTGACCGTGCTACAGTTGTTTGCAGGAACCACAGACATGCCATAAATGGCCACAACGCAGGACAGCCATCATCTTGTGTCTTTTAGCAGATTAATTACATTTTGCATGCAACCCTTTGCTTTAGTAAACAAGCCGTATAGCGTACTGGTGACAGAAAGGCACGATCGGCTTCGGTGGACAAGAAGAAAAGGACTGAGCTACATTCTGTTATTAAGGAGAGTAGCACAGAACATTATTTATGGCAGTGCAGCGCCGTGAAGATGATTTATGAACGTGCAGTGCCACGCAGGAGAAAATTTATTAATACACCAAGCTGCGTAGGAAATTATGTATCGCTGTGCAGTGATGTGCTCCCTGGAGATGGCTGTCTCTGAGGAAGGTGTCCTTGCTGCACCTGGTTTAAAGGGAACTATTGGGATTTAAAGTCCATGTGTACTCTGTGTAGGGCAAAGAAACAGGTTCACGTAACTGCCACCATCAACAGCCGCACATACTCCCCCATACTCATGTCACGGTCAGGCATCAGCCTTGGAGACCAGTAGCAGTGGAGAGGCTCCCACCAAGCAGCTGGTTGAGTACAGCAGCAGGTCACCCTGGCGGTTGACATGGACTCACCCGAGATGCGGGGTCTAAGCACTAACCAGTATTCACTAGAGCCCCTAATGGTGGAGATGGGTTTTGCTGCATGTTAGTAATAGATTGCAGTCTTCACAAGACCCTACCAGGAGGTGAGCAGGCCAAGGTCTAGTAGCAGATAGCATGTAGGGATCAAGCAGAGGAGTAGCCGGTAACAAGTGGTCGCAGGTTGGGATCAAGCAGAAGTGTAGTCGAGGAACAAGCCAAAGGTCGGTAATGAGTGGTATTGGAGATACGGACATCAGCAGGAGTGGCAAGAGTGAGATATTGGCTGAAGAGAGCACAATAATCCGGCAAACAGGAAGTGAAAGGCATGGTTAAAAGATGAGGTTCATGGGAGGAGCAAAGGGTTCAAGGTTTAAGAGATACAAGCTTCAAAGCAAGATCAAGCAGAAGCGTATTTGAGGAACAAGCCAAAGGTCGGTAATGAGTGGCATTGGAGATACGGACATCAGCAGGAGTGGCAAGAGTGAGATATTGGCTGAAGAGAGCACAATATTCTGGCAAAACAGGAAGTGAAATTCATGGTTAAAATACGAGGTTCATGGGAGGAGCAAAGGGTTCAAGGTTTAAGAAAAACAAGGTTCAAGGCAAGGTCATTCAAGGAGTTGTCCAGGGAGCTGTCCAGCATCCCAGGTGGCTCAGCAAGAAGAGACATTGCCAGACATGGCAGAAGTCGCAGGGTCAGATCCGGGTCCTGACCATTCCCCTCCTTTCTGACTGGTGGTCAGGGGAGGAATTGTTAGTATTGTGTAAGCTCCAAGTCGCAGACTGAAGCTTACATGGGGCTTCCTCTCCTCACTTGAAGTGGCATGGGAAGTAAACGGTAAAGCACAAGTTTTCTTTAGTGTCAAAAAGTTATAAAAATGTTTTTGGTGCCTGAGCAGCATTCTGAAAAATCTACCTTTTTGACTTGAATTCCTCCTGGGAAACAGCAGCGTCTACTGTGCCTAGGCACGCCCCTGTACAGTATTTGCAGTGTAGGACCATCTAAGGCTCTCTTGTCCCTGACTGCTAGTCTTATTAGATTTGAAATGAGATTTTGTGATGTCACTACTGTGTTGCTGCTGACTGTTCTTCTTGCTGGAGAGGAAGCTGTACCTGGGGACTGCACGGTACTCCCTGCTTCTTTTACTCCAACTTTCCCACTTTCCTCACTAGTCAGATCACCAGTCATCTGGGGATAGCTCAGACACAAGGGATGGTCTTCACACAGAGACATAGCGCAGAACGAGGTATAGTAATTAATATGATCTGCTGCAGAGAGACCACATGCAAAGCTTGTGACTTGTCTTTTGTCCTCTGCTTATCTATTTTGGGAACAGCTTCCACAGTTCAGGTCCTCTAAAGAAAAAAAAAATCATCCAATAAGTTACCTATATCTTTAAATAGCAGAGCTAGAGATAAATGTTTTACTTGCTTTTAAAGCTAATTGTGTTAATATACAACTGAGCAGATCTCTTAAACCGGGCAACCAGAAAACCGTGTCTATTCTTGTACAGTTGTGTGTAAGAATAGATCATTCCTCCATAAGCAAAATTCAAACTTCTTAGTTACGATTTTCGAAAGGAAATTCTTTTGGAATTCGACCCATGTATGGCCTGCAATAGAAGGTGGTACAAAACACCTTGATTTGTTTCACACCACAACTGTGCTTTACCAGTTATTCACCCTGAGGTCATCACAGAGGACAAGGGGGTGCTCTTTACGTCTGGAGGAAAATAAATGTAATCTCCAAACACGGAAAGGTTTCTTCACAGTGAGAGCTGTGAGAATGTGGAATAGACTCCCTCAGGACTTGGTTCTGCCCAGCTCAGTGGATTGCTTTAAAATAGTCCTGGATTCTTTCTTGGATACACAGAATATAACTGGATACTAACATTTATAGGTAAAGTTGATCCAGGGAACATCCGATTTCCTCTCGGGGGATCAGGAAGGATTTTTTTTCCCTGCAGGAGCAAATTGGATCGTGCTTTGCTGGGATTTTTTGCCTTCCTCTGGATAAATTATGGGTATAGGATTATAACTTTTTTTTCTTTTTTAATGGTTGAACTGGATGGACTTTTGTCTTTTTTCAGCCAGACTATGTAACTATGAAAAAGTGAAACTAAAGCTGAACTCCAGTAATTCACACACTTTTTAAAATGTGCTTGCATACTATGAGTTCAGTCCAACGAGGCGTATGCCACCTCCTGGACTTATCTTTTTTCTTTACTGTATATCTGAGTTAAAAGTTAAAAGCAAGAAGGGACCACCATAGTGCAGTATTTTAAAACCAAGGGCTTTTAATACGGTAATGTACTTACAATAAGAAGACAATCACAGGCATATAAGCAAAGATGAGCGCTGCCAGATTCCCGCCAGGGTGTGTGATAATGCCAAATATTCGCCCCCCCTAATGCGTTTCACTGTAAACAGCATCTTCAGAGAATCTCAATAAGCCTCCTAGGTCAGTTGGCCTGTTAGCTGCCATCCACTTGTTTCTAGATTCTTGCGCTCCTCTGTGTATGCATTCATTAATCCCACTTTTATTCCTGGCACAGGTAAGACCCAGCGATCAATACGGAATTTATCACACCAGTCCGTCCTTCAGCTGCCTCACAAAACCGGTCGTCCTCTGGACCCAGCAAGACGTGTGCAAGTGGCTGAAGAAGCATTGCCCACACAACTATCTCACCTATGTTGAGGCCTTCTCCCACCATGCCATCACAGGTAACCATTCAGGAAATTGGTATTGTCGAAACCCTTTGCAACTACCTAAGTGGAGGTAAATGTTTTCCATGGGAAGAAGTGCACATCACCCAGTTAAAATAGCTGTTAACCCAATTGCTAAAATTTAATATACGATTTAACATGCGTATGCAGGGGCGGACTGACAACTCATGGGGCCCCTGGGCAATAGGGGATCATGGGGCCCCTGTGTCCAAACTCAAAAAAGCCTATGAAAAAGGTACCAGGGGCATCTTATGGGGCCCCCTACTGACCCCGGGCCCCGGGCAGTGCCCGAGTTTCCAAATGGTCAGTCCGCCCCTGTGCGTATGCTGTTTAAAAAACAAATATGAATCTGTTTTTAATGCTGCAGCTTTCATTAAAGGTATAGTCCATCTTATGAGTAAAACAGCTTATGCATACAAGGGGCCCCAGTGTCACGGTCATGGTTTAGACTCAGAGACCAGTAGGTTTAGTAGTAGAGAGGCTCCCACTCGCCATCTGGATAAGTAAAGTAGCAGGTCACCCTGGCGCATGACGATGTGTAGGATCTAAGAACTAACCAGTATTCACCAGAGGTCCCGATGGTGGAGATGGGTTTTGCTGCATGTTAGTACCAGGTCGTGGTCCTCAGGATAGCCCCAGCAGCAAGTGGTGATAACATGCCAGGGTCCAGTAGCAGATAAACGGAGTCAGTAAACAAGGCAAAGGATGGTAACAAGTGGTTGCAGGTTGGGATCAAGCAGAAGCAAAGTTGAGGAACAAGCCAAAGGTCGGTAACAAGTGGTAGCAGGTTGGGATCAAGCAGAAGCGTAGTTGAGGAACAAGCCAAAGGGCGGGTAGTCAGTATCGAGGTAGTTGCAGGTTGGGATCAAGCAGAAGCATAGTTGAGGAACAAGCCAAAGGTCAGTAACAAGTGGTTTCAGGTTGGGATCAAGCAGAAGCATAGTTGAGGAACAAGCCAAAGGGCGGTAACGAGTGGCAGCAAAGATGCAGATGGCAGCAGAAGTGACAAGAGCGAGATATTGGCTGGAGAAAGCACAATAGCAACGCTACTGCTAAAAGAGGAAGTTTATGGGAGGAGCAAAGGGTTCAAGGTTCAAGAGAAACACGATTCAAGACAAGATCATTCAAGGAATTGTTCAGGGAGCTATCCAGCATCTCAGGTAGCTCAGCAAGAAGCGACACCGCCAGACACAGGAGAAGTCACAGGTTCAGACCCAAGTCCTGACACCCAGTATATTACAGTGCACTCAACCTTTTACAGTGTCCTGTGATTGAAACACCTGTATGCCTCTGTTGCCCCCCCCCCCCCTCTCAGGAACCTGACCTATATACTACTCTTACCTTTTATTTTACCTAGTAGATTGGAGACTCATTCTCAGCATCATGGCAGTACGCTTCTCTTTTTCAAAGGCAGTGTATGCACAGTGTGTGCATTCTTTCCCTGTCCCAGCAACGCTGAGCTTCTGGAGAGAGCACACTGCGCATGCACCAGGGGGAGAGAGAGAGAGAACTTGCACTGCCCATGCACAGCTTTTGAAAAAGTGAAACAAGCTGCCTTGATTCCGAGAACGGGCGCCTAAGATAGAAGGTAAACAATATGGTAGTATATCAGGAAGGCTTCAGGGGTACCCAAAGGCCTATAGGTGTGCCAATCATATTACACTGTATTTTATTTTTTTTAAAAGGCATAGTGCATGTAATATACTGGGGCCTCTTGTCTGCTTGGAGGTGAACTCAGCCTTTAAAATAATCCTTAGTGATCCCTCCAAGAAGATCCCAGTTCAGGTTTTTTTCTTTTACAGGGTGACAACATTCAGTCTTTGTCTTCCAAGTGTACTTCTGTGTTGTCACAAAGGATGCTGACAGCACTTACAAGTGCCACTTCAACACACATTACACAAGCATGGTCCACTATTGTACCCATCTTTCCTACCCCTTATCTGTAGTGCATGTAGACAAGGTGCTATAAAGAGGCTGCATGTAATCAGCAGCACTGAGATGCAACAGAGTTAAAGTGGTTCTAACGGCTGAATGTTTTTTACCTTAATACATTCTCTTCATTGAGCTAAAAAAGCTTTCTTTGATCTGGATACCCCCTCAGCCCCCCTTTATGTTTACTGAGCCTGATCTCGATCCAACGCCGTGCACGAAAGGAGCAGCGTCTCTCTCCCCCTCCTCATAAGCTCACAGCAGCGGGAGTCATTGGGTTCCTGCTGCTGTCAATCATAGCCAGTGGGGGGGAAGGAGCTGAGCCACGCTCTGTGTGCCAATGGACACACAAAGCCTGGCTCAGGACCTAGCCCTCACAAGTTCCTCCCCATAGCAAGCGGCTTGCTACGAGGGCACTAGGCAGGAGGGAGGAGCCAAGAGCACATGTGGCGGACCCCAGAAGCGGAGGATCAGAGCTGCTCTGTGCAAAAACACTGCACAGAGCAGGTAAGTAACAAATTAAAATTTTGAACCTTTTCAATCAAAGATGAAAATTGTATTTTATTAAAAACAAACGGCAACTGTTTATGATGCACAGTGCTTTAGCAAACTAAATGTCATCCACTTAAAGATCTACCTCTCTACTTAAGCAGGCAATAGACGGGTCGAACATCGACCGATTTAAAAAAACAAAAACAAATGAAAAATCGGTTGTTCGATCGGCCGACGTTACCACCAACGTTAAAAAAAATCGCCCAATTTTCGACCCATCTATGGCCGGCATTAACTCCATAACTTAACCCCATAACTTCTGTCCCTTGTAGAGACAGGAGAGCACACCATACAATGTGGCAGCAATACAAATACATTATTTGGATTACAATGTTTTTATTTGGATACAAATGGATACATTTGTTGCAACCGCAAGACTTTTTCATATAAAATATAATAGCGGACTGGAATTCCAGTTCGTAGGAAGGATTCAGGTGTCTCCCATTCCTATCATCCATTCACTGTAAGCAGAATAAAATTTCTTCTTCTTCTTCCTCTTCTCTTCTTCTTCCTCTTCTTCCTCTCTTCTCCTCAGATTTTTTTTTATCGGTAAAACGATCGGCCGATTTGCCCATCCATTTTTGCCGGGAAAATCGGCCGATCGCCAAAATCGCCGCAAATTTTCCAACGTGACCAATAAAAAAAATGTGCAAACACCGAAAAACAACCTGACCGATTAACCCACTAATGGTTGCGAAAAACTGGCCAATTGTTTTTTCGGCCGTAAAATCGGCCGATTTTCAACCCATCTATGGCCGGCATTACTTTACATGTAGTTATCTATTTAGACGGAGATCTACATCTGCCTAATTCCTGCCCCAGGCCTTGCAGGCTCCCTTGTGGCTCTATCCTATGAATAAACAACAACAACAGCAAAAAAAAAAATGATAACTCGCTAGAGTGCTGTGCAATCTGTAAGCCCTATAAATGGAAGAAACCCAAATGCGGAGTATTTGCTGCGTTTGTAAGAACAGAGGCTTACAAACACCAGAAGCGAATTGAACATATGGCCGGTTAGCATCCCCGTATGGCCCCGCAGGCTGCGTATTTGAGTCACGGACTGCGCTGTGCTGTGTCTCAGGGACAGAGCCATGAACGGGGAATGGGTTGTATCATCTGACTGTTCCTGAATCCCGGCAGACACACTCCGGCTCTCACTGAAAGATCTGTATCCCCAGGCAGCTTACAGCACAAGTCTTAATGTGCGGAGCGGATGAAAGTTCACAGAGAAGATGCCATCCTCAGGAGAGAGGAGAACGAGGGAGGAGAGTGGAGAAAAAAGCAGAAAATGGACTAGATAAAAGATAATCTGGTGGTGTAGAGAGGGGGTGGGGGGGGGTCCTGTAGGGAGCAGGAAGAATTTAGAGGTGGATGATGAGGGAGAAAGTGTTTTTAATGGAGAAATAATTCATTAAAAATAATGTCTTATTGACGATTGTTTACCCGACTATTGGTCTCTCTTGACCTGTATACTGCCATTTACTTTGTAGTTTTTATATATTTTTATGTTGTTTTATTTTTCTCTGGCTATTATGTGTCAAATGCAAAATGTATAAATAAAGGAATTACAAAAAATGTCTTAAGAGTTTCAGATTTTACTTTTTCTTTCTTTTTTTTTTTTTTTTTGTAGAATAACTTCTACAGGCAAAAAAAGATAACCCACTGCAGTGCAGTGTCTAAAGCCGGCCGTAAATGGATCAAAAGTTTAGCAGCAACTGGCCGAATTTTGATCCACACATCCGTCCCTGTCCGTCAGCTGTTAGATCGACATCTGTGGAACGGGAATTTTGGAATACTTTTGTCGATCAGCTGATTGATCTGTGTACTCTTGGGCCGGCCATACATGGGTCGATTTTTTTTTCGTTCGAAAATCGGACCTAGGAATAATTGATGGATTTTCGCTTGTTAGTGGGGCAATGGCACCGGCCGATTTTTCGTGGTTCCTCCCCATTTCGTTTATTGGGCATGTTAGAAAATGCGTGCAAAAAGACAGATTTTCGAAATCATTGGTGGCACCATCGGATTACAGAACGAACGATGTTTTCGATCGAAAAATCGTTCGGAATTCGACCCATGTATGGCCTGCTTTAGCGTAGAGAGTCCTGCTGCCAGAATACAATGTCTTGGTTGGGTTGGATTTCTCCAATAATCTTGTTCATGTGGATGGAAGAATCCCTTGTCTTTGCTCAGTAGATTAAAAAAAAAAAACGAATCTTTAAAAAAAAAAAAAAATGTAAAAATAACAGACAGATTCTTACCTGCTTCGAGCAATGAAATTGCACATAGTAGGTCCCCCACTGATGCTGCTGGCTCTCCTCTCTCTTGGTGCCCCACAGGAAGCTGCTTTCTATAGTCTTCGGGTCAATCCCGAGCTGCGCTGCCCAGGAAGCCGCAGTTTCTATTGTGGCACAAATGCGGGCACTCGAGGTCCCGGGGTCGTGCCACATGAGATGCCCCTGTACCTTTTTCCGTGGACGTAGACAGGGCCCCATGATCCCCTATTGCCCCGGGGGCC